TGAGTGTCGACTGTGTGGAGGTTGGACTCAGCTGGTGTGTGTGTGTGTGTGTGTGTGTGTGTGTGTGTGTGTGTGTGTGTGTGTGTGTGTGTGTGCAGCTGATGAACGTGGGCCAGGCCACCCAGTCGGCGTCGTTTCGCTCCATGCACGGATCCACCATCAAGTACCGCTGTGACCGAAGCCTGGTGGTGAGAGCCGACTCAGCTGTTTCACTCACCTCTGTTGTTGTTGTTGTTGTCTTGTTTTTATTGTTTTGTGTCTCCTTCTGTTGTTGTTGTTGTCTTGTTTTTATTGTTGTGTGTCTCCTTCTGTTGTGTTTTTGTCTGATCCTTGTCGTCATTGGGTCTGTTGTCGTCTCTGTGCTGGTGTGTTGAAGCTGTATTGATCGTATGTCTGTGTGCGATCAGGGCGCCATATTGATTAATGATAACGAGGCCAGAGTTGTGGAGCGTTTCCTGACCTTCAGCGAGGGCTTGGCCTTCGGCATCGACCAGCTGCTGGAGCCGCCGGGCCTCGGAGCGTTCTGCGACACCGTCGAGAACAAAACCACCCACGTCAGTACTGCTAATGCTAATGCTAATGCTGCAGTACTTTTATTGTGTACGAACTCGTACAGTGCAAGTATTTTACTGCTGGTTGGAGCCGTGTTAACCGACAGGGGCCTTAGTGCGGGTCCGAACCCACAGAACCGGTTACTGAAGGTTCTTGTGTTTCAGGGTCGCTGTGGAGGCTGCCTCTCCGCTCCTTCGTGCCCCCTCAGACACATCGACGTGGTAAGATCCATCTGCAGCCCAAACATCAGAACCTCCGTAAACTCTGCACGCATGAACGTTCCTTCTGGGTTCTCCAGGGAACCAAAGAACGCTGCTACAACTATCGTAGGTACGGAATGGGATACCCCCGCTGGTATGGCGACCTGGACGACCACTTCAGCCGGAGGGGCTGCAAGAGAGTCTGCTTGTTCCCCTCCTGGGTCCAGAAGTGCTGCAAGAACCACTACAGCCGGGACTGTCAGGGTGAGGAGGAGCACGGTTCTGCTGCAGAACCACAGCAGACTCAGAACCTGTGCCCAGTGTCACAGCATTTGTCCAAACTGACCCAGAATCTGTTGCAAAGTGTTTGTTTTCTTTTGATAAATTATCTAAATTTGATCTCATAAGACTCACAATTTGTCCTAAAGACTCCATTTTTGAGCAGAATTACTTAAAATCTGTCACAATATTTATTCAAAATGGCTCAAATTGGGTCAAAATGTCTGAAAATCTGAAAATGAGCTGATTTGGTGATGAGGACTTGTGGCCCAGCTATGGTGACGTTTTCTGCTGAAACATCACCGACGAGCAGCTCGTAGACGGACAGGTTTAGGGTCCTGGCGACCCGTTACTGGGTCAGTTCTAACTCTGTCCTCGCTGTGCTCTGAACTTGTTCCTGCGTCTCAGTGTGTCCTGGAGGTCTGGAGGCTCCTTGCGGAAACCACGGGACCTGCGACGACGGCCTCCACGGCTCAGGAAGCTGCTTGTGCTCCACAGGATTCAGAGGAACAGCCTGTGAACTGTGCAGCCGCGGATACTACGGAGCCAACTGCACAGGTAGAACAGAACCAGAACACCAGAACATAATGAGCTGATTCTCTGGACACAAGAAACTGTCCTAAACTGCAAAATCCTGATTAAAATGCATCGAGAGCTTGATTTTAAACTCTAAAATGACCCAAATATTGACCAACATGACTCAGATAAAGCCCGAGTGCAGCCGTCCTCCAGAGTGGGCCGGCTGAGGGAGACCGGGTCCAACATGGTGGGCCTTTAACAGCAGCTGGTTCTGGTTTATGCTTGGTCAGAACACAAAGCAGAGACAATGAGCCTGTGTAAATCCTGTTCCTTCATTCATCCGCCGCCGCTGTGACCCCCAACATCCGCCCAGAACAAGAACTCCACGGCGGCAGACAGCCTCGGCAGTCTGTCGCCATGGTAACGCTCCAGACTCAGCATCCACAGCTGGGCGTTCATCCAGCGTGGACCGACCTGGCAGCTGCCTTCGCTCAGCCTGAACACACCGACAGCTGCTGATCAGCGTCTGTTTCAGCTTCACAGCTCAGTGTCTCTGAGCAGAACAGCGCTTTCAGTTATTTCTTACGGACTCTTTCCATCGTTTGTGAGCCTCAGAACTTCATCAGTACAGCACATAGACACATGACATTTAGGAGGAGGAACACGTCTGGGTTCTGGTAGAACCTGACACCGGATCAGTTCTACATCCATCCAGGTGTCTCAGTCTGAACACTGGACCTGGTTCTGTTCCAAAATGAGACAACATGACAAACAAGACACAAAGATACAAAATTACACAAACAAGTTATAAAAAGACCAAAAAATTACAAATTAAGACAAAACCTCGACCAGAAGTCCGCACAACATCTGTCCAGGTGTCTAAGCACTGGATCTGATTTGTGTTCAGAACCAGACTGATGGACCGGTTCTGTTTGTGTCTCAGCCTGTAGCTGTGGGAAACAGGGCCGGTGTGACGACGGCATCGAAGGTTCTGGACAGTGTGTCTGCAGGCCCGGCTGGGACGGAGAACGCTGCCAGATCAACATCGGTGAGTTTTAGAAAATCCAATCATCTCAGAACCAGACGGTTCTGGCTGGACATGTACAGCTCTGCAGACATCTTCAAGATCTGTGGTTTCCTTTTCAAGAAGGCTTTTCAGCTCTCTCAACCGGACCTGTTCCGGGAAAACGATTCTTTACTGCGGCTCGTTTTCCAGCCGACAGCCGTCTGGTTGGTCACAGCTGAGCTCAGAATCTGTTTGTACGAAAACGTTCTGATAGAAAACCGTTAATTTGGTGAATTTCTAAACAAGACTCGTAGATGAAGTGAGTTTAACGTGTTAATCCTCACGATGGAACTACACGGCAGGTCCAAGTGTTGTCAGGAAGCTGGAAGCTGATAAATTCAGTCAATCTGGTGATTATTGTAGAAGGAAGCACGACTTTCAACCCTCAGTCCTCCAGGTTCTGGTTCTTCTGGTAGATTAATGGTAGCAGCTGGACCTGCTAGAAGACGTTCCACCTTCATCCAAGAGGCTTCATCAGCTCTGACTGACTGGTTGGGAGTTCCAGGTACTGATATCCTTAACACAGTGGGGTTCGTTAGGGTCTGTTGTGGCTCGGTGTGGATGTAGGTTCATCTTCCAGGATATCAGAACCTGGAACTCCCAACCAGTCAGTCACAGCTGATGAAGCCTCGTGGACGAGAGGTGGAACGTCTTCAAGCAGGTCCAGCTGCTATGACTTCTGTCTGATCCATTTCTTCAGACGGTTTTCACAGATGGGTGAGGTCTCAGTCACATGATCAGGTCTTAAGCCTGATCATGAGGTTCACGTTTGTTCCGACACGCTGCTTCCCTTCTGAGCTTTATTTTGAAGGCCTGCTTTCCTTGTTTCCTGTCCAGGTTCGATCCCAGAAGAGTGCCGGCGCTGCCACCTTCAGGCCGACTGTGTGTCCGGCGCCGGCTGTCGCTGTAAACCTGGATTCCAGGGAAACGGGACCTTCTGCAGCCCAGAACCTCGTGAGTGCTTGACAGCGTAGCGACAGTAGAACCCTGGTTCACCTGAAACGTGTTGAGTGTTTGAGTGCTGCCCTCTGATTGGCTCTGCAGCTCCAGACCTCTGCTCCGAGTACAACGGCGGCTGCCATCAGAGCGCCAACTGCAACCAGACGGGCCTGCAGGTGAACTGCACCTGTCACGGCGGTTACCAAGGAGACGGATACTCCTGCGAGCCAATCAACAGGTCAGTTCGAAGTTCTGCTTCCTGTTTTCAGTCCAGCGTTCAGGTTCAGAGCTGCTGTTCTTCTGTCTCCAGGTGTGTCGAAGAGCAAAACGGAGGCTGCAGCGACTTCGCTTCCTGCAAGTTCACCGGACCAGTAAGGACCAGATTCCCTCTCAGTAATCAGATTACTTCTACAGCAGAGTATCTGCTCTGATGTCAGATTACAAACCACCAGTTCATATTGTTAGATTAACTTCAGGCTCCACAGCAG